ACAGGATGGTCTGCATGGCACTGTCCTCATTTTTGGATTGGAACATGGCTCCAGAGTGTGAAAGTTGCAGCAGAACCACAAGAGCAAACTATCACGTTTCTTTGATGAAGCAGCCTCTGTTTCATAGGAAGAATGTTCCTTCACCTGTTGGGCATTGTTGGCATTAAGGCGTTTCAAACCCACTTTCATCCCAGACAGGCATTGAAGGTCATACTTTTTTTTGCATGGGTTTGTTGCAAAAAAACATAGGTGCAGTTGTGATCCAACAGGGCAGGGGGAGGAATCTATGGCCCTCCAGATGTTACTAGATTTCTGCTCTTATCAGCCCCAGCCAGCATGGCCAATGGTTAGGGATAATGGGAGTTATAGTTCTACAACATCTGAAGGGCCACAGTTTCTTCAACCCTGCAGTGGCAAATCTGCACCTATTTAGAAGGCAAAAGTGTTTGCCATCCTCTGAGAGCAATAAGAAAAAGTCCTTTAACCTTGCAGTTTCAGGTTTAAGATACAGCAGATCAAACCTGTTTTGATTAGGATGTTGTGATTTTGAAACATGAAGTTAAACATGAGCTAAAATGTATACAGTTGCAAAGATTGTATTTGTGTACAATTGTATTGTATTGTATTGTATCTATTGCAAAGATAGTATTTCCCTGGACAATTCATTGAGATTGAAAAAGCATTGATACCTGCCCTGCTAAACATTCAGCATATTAATTTTATTTTCATCTTGTATACACATTTTCTTTAATGCTGCCAGCTAAGGAAAATACAGTAATATTTCCATGCATTACTGTGCAAGTTTCATGCACCAGCTGTTCACATGGAGCAAAAATGGACTTCACATGAAGCAGTACAGTACAGCAAATGTTGCTGCTAGTAGAAATGGAGGGGTAGGTGATGGTTTCCCACTAGCAATTATACACCAATGGTGCTTTGTCTGATTGTTGCATAGACTCTCATAACAAGCTAAATGGATACCATTTTGATGTTTGCAGCTGAAAAGACAACGCATGGGGCACGAGCAGCTCTTTCTCCTGTTTTTTCTAAATCTGAAAAACAAAAATTATTCCTTGCATGTTACACATTATTTCCACCGTCTACGGTGCATCTTTTCTGCGATGCTCCTATGAATTCTTTCAGATGAAGAGCCCTGCTGGATTAAACCAGTGGTCAGGATGCCTCAAGCAGGACACAAGAACCATGGCTCCACCTGCCCAAGCCCCACAATAAGGGGTGCATAGAGGCAGTGAGGGAAACATTTTGACATTAGGACTAGTAGCCATCAATAGCCTTCTCCTCCATGTGTTTGCCCAGACCCCCTTTAAAGCCATCTAAATTGATGAGCAGCACGTTATGTATTCCAAAGTTTAAGTACATGCTGCATGCAGGACTTTCTTTTATCTTTCCTGAATCTCCCACCAATCAGCTTCCTGGGATGACCCCTTTTGGTTTGAGGATTACGGGAAAGGGAGGAAGGTGAAGGTCCTTCTCCACCTTCCCTCTCCACATTTCAATGCAAGCAAATCTTTCCCAGTCATCTCCAACCTCTGGCGCCCAAAGTGGGCAACAGACATGAAAATTACAACCCCAAATACTACACTGCACACAATATTTTGCAATAGGCTTTTCTAGGTTTGGTAGCTAGAACTCTACACAGCATTCCAAGTGTGTTTGCACATATCACCCTGAATTTGGGGAGATGTTGACAACTGAATCTGGGACCTTGTAGTTGCTTGCTTGCTTTCAAAAGCTTATTACTGAATGCCTATCCCTTTTCTTGTCGATTATAAGCAGAACTGTTTTGTGTGTGTGTGTTGCAATTTACAGGGAGCAGAAAGAAAAGTGCAGGATGTGGCATTGGGCATAGCATTTAACTTCACAGAAATTTTATCTTATCCTTCCTTTAAAGAAGCAAGCTTTTAGGCTATGGCATTACGCTGATATACTTAAAAGTCTGTAAGCAATGCCTGGTTAAAATCTCAGAAGGTTAAGTGGCTGGGAAGAAGGCTCCAAGGCCTATTACTCACTTGTCCCTCCCCTTGATTTAGCGAACCAGTATAAATTATGCAAAATAAAGGAAAATGCATATCTGTCCTATTTGCATGACTTGCGCAGGTCATGCCATTCAGCATTTATTGAGGCAAATTTGGAACTGCCTGGGCTGTTGTTACTGTTCCGGAAAGGGGTCACCTGTGTAGCCCTCTGAAGTGTGTGTATGTGTGTTCTATTTTCAAATCTCTCTGGGTTCACATGCGCACAAAAACTTCTTTAAATAACTGCCAGAGGCAGCTGTCTTCTGATGAACTCAGTCAGCTGAATGTGTGAAAACAAACAGCTAGAAATGAGCCATCACCAGTCTATGCTGTTAACGGCTTGAAGCGAATATCCCACCCACATACCTGCCTATTTCCAGAAGCGACCAGGATGAAAGCCATTAAGAGACACTAACTGGGTTCAGACAACACAATAAGTTACATTCAAGGACTGAATGTGGGTTGTCACTGAATTATGGGTTGTTGTTGAAACATAGGTTATCTGGTTGTCTGGACCCAGCTATGCTAACAAGCCATGGGAAAACCCAGGTTTCTTCTTGGGTTATGAACTGTGGGTTGTTCACCATAGTTGGTAATTTCAGTTAGGTTCAGACAGCATGCTAATCCATATTTCAACAATAACCCATGGCTTAATGGCTCAGCCTTTGAGCAAGGATTTTCCTGCTGTCTGAGTCCAATCAAGGGTCCATGGGAAGTGATGCTAGCAATGTGACTGTTTGACTGAGAGGTTACAAATGGAAGATGGTGTCACCTAGAAACACCATCCCCTACTCTTAAAATTATGTGAATGAAGCAGGGTGGTGGTTGCACAATAAAAGCCTCTGGAAGTGCCCACAGTCTTCATACCCTTTACAATCACCCATTAAGGCAAGAGAGCATTGTTGGAGAGACTGAGAAGGAACAGTTTGCCTAAGGCAACTTATGGTGAGATTCGACTTATGGCGACTGAGTATGCGGGGGGGGGGGGGGGGTTACCCAGGGCAAGACAGGTCAAGAATTGCAACCTTCATGACTGAGAAGAGATCAGATGCTCAGTGTTCTTGGCCTTCCCAACCAAGCGCCCTTCAAATGTTCTGGTCTTCAGTTCACATCAGCCCCAGCATGCATGGCCAGTGGTTGGGAATGCTAGGGGTTGTGGCCCAAAATGTTTGGAGGGCACCAGATCAGGGAAGGCTGTGCTACACTGCACATGCTAATTACCTGCTGCAACATGCAACAAACACTTGCATGGCAATGTACCTAACACACCTTTGAGTTCAGTCACACCAGCCTGCAACCTCCACTATTTTACTCTGGAAGATGAGTTCTCAGTGGGCTGGCTCCCAGAGGTAAGCTCTTAGCTCAGTGACTGCAGCTTCGCATGTGACCTTGACCTGGAAAACCCAGCAGCACCAGCAGAATGTTCCTGTCACCCCCCAGCATCTCAAGTGCAGTGGGGATGGTTCACACATCAGTAATGGCTTGTTAAGCGTACAAGCAAAGGTGGGCAGAAAGTAGCTTGCCAGATGTTTTGGGCTCCAATTCCCAGCATTCCTGACCACCGGCCATGGAAGCAGGTGCTTCTGGGAGTTGAGGAACAAAACATCTGGAGGTCTACCTTCTGCCTGCCTCTGGTAGTTGGTAATTATGTGTAAGAAACCCCCATGAATTCATTGTACATGTCTAAAAAATATTGACCCCCTGACTAGTCTCATTCAGCTTTTATCTTCTGTGTGCTAATCTTTGGGTGCAGCTGCTATGCTGGGTGTGTGTGTGTGTGTGTGTGTGTGTGTGAGAGAGAGAGAGAGAGAGAGAGAATGAGAGAGAGAGAGAGAGAGAGAAAATCCAGTCCCTATCTCTGCTAGCCTGTGCCCATTTCAGGATGTGTGAATCTGCTGTAAGTTTGTTTGATGTTTATGCAGATGATTCTTCACTTTATCTCTGTGTTGCAAATTGTGTATGTTTCAGAGCCCTGCCCACTCTTCTGACCACTCCCTCTGATGCATACATATGGCACTGAGAGAGCGGCATGCAGGCATGTCAAATCAAAAAGGGGCCCGTGTGTGGGCCAGTTTGGTTTCATGACTTGGCACTCAGGCCACTGCTCCCTGGGTTTGTCACTGACTCTCAACCCACCCTACCTCACAGGGTTGTTGTGAGAATCAAATTAAGAAAAAGTCATTTCTGGTGTCATGGGCTTTTTTGGAGGAAAAGGTGTTCTATAGATGTAGTAAATAAACAAATCATGTGTTTAAATAAATAAATAGAAACTGGTGCAGAATACCCGGTAGATACCACAATCTTATACATGCATGCTGAAAAGTAGCACCACTGATTCTCATGAGGCTTCCACCGAGCAAGTGGGTATACAATTACAGACTTGCTTCATAGGACACCTCCTTGCATCCCAAAGCCCCCCAGAAAAGCATCTTGCGGCCAAGTAAAAATGAAAAAGACACAAACTCTAAGCGTCGGTTTCCCTTCCCGAACATCTCACTGGATGTCATAATTTATTATATTGAAGCCTTGCCTTTCCCCTCTAAAGAAGGAACCTAAGGCGGCTCACGTGCCCTCCTCCTCCTCCTCCTCCTCCTCTCCATTTTATCCTCACAACAACCCTGTGAGGCGGGTCAGGTTGAAAGTCCGTGGCTAGCGCGGGGTTGCCCAGGCAGGGAGCTTCCGCGCCGAGCCGCGATGTCCCGAGTCCGGAGCCACGAACTCAGAGCAGCCCACGCGCGAGCCCCCGGCAGATCTCGCGCGCTCGCGTGCGGCTCTCTCGGCGCCGCGCGTGTGCGTCGGAGGGAGTGGGAGGAGAGCGGGCAGAGCCGCGCAGCCAATCGCTGCGCCTCTGGAGCGGAGAGCGCCTGGGAGGGGAGGGACGAGCGCGAGCGAGCGAGCGAGCGAGCGCGTTGGGTGGGAGGGAAGGCGAGTGACTCTGGGGACGCAGACTGGACGGAGCGACCTACGCGACGGGAGAGAAGGAGCCCGACGTGGATCGAGCCGTCCAGACCACGAGGCGCCAACGGCCGGAGCCTGCCCGCTTCGTGGACGCTCCGGGACATGGAGCCCAACAGTCCCCGCAAGATCCAGTTCACGGTGCCGCTGCTGGAGCCACATCTCGACCCGGAGGCGGCGGAGCAGGTGGGTGGCGGCGGGCGCCCGCTTAGCTTTGTTCGGCGTTAGGGGATGTTCTCGCTTCCTCCCGTCCCCAGCGGAGTTGGAGAGGCGATCGGGCCCGAGCAGGGCTTAGCCCCGGGACCTCTTGTCGAGGTTTCTCTGGGCATTTTGAACATGCTCGTCGTCGCCCGGCAGCTCCCTGATCCGAAGCGCCTTGCTCCGGAGCAAGTTGTCTTTCTGCTGCGCCGCCCCCCTCCCCTGACTCTAGTGGGGTTGACTGCCAGAAAAGCGTACATGCCTCAGCATATGTAGAATACCTTCTTCCGTGGAATCACCGCTGCACGTCGAAGATGTGTGAAGGGGCTTTCCTCCTTTCTGAGCGTGTGTGACCCCAGGCGGCGTTCAGCCCGGCGCCTCTTGCTTTGGAAATCGCTACTCCGCCACTTGTCCAGCTGTCTTTCTCATGACTTGGCGGGAGGGGGAATGCAGAGGGGGCGTATTTCCTCTTGGATCTGGGCACCCATCACCTTCTGGATGAGACCTACTTTGCCCAAGGGATCCCCCGCCCTCCAAAGTGTGCCTCTCCTTGCAGGCGGTCATGAATCGGGTTTACGGTCATGCTTGGCCATTCTGTGTCTCATGAATGAGATTCGTGCACAAGTCATGCATGACTTGGGCTCCTCTTGGACTCTGCATGGTTGTGTACTGTTGGGAAAGTACTCATGGGGTGCATGGGGTGTGTTGTTTTGCATGTCAGTAACATATAGGTCATCGGTGAAACGTGGAATGGTCGGGGGAGGGGCAGTTTGGGGCGCTTTGCAAGGAGGTATTGCAATTTGTTTGGGGCACCCTATTGTTCCTAAGACATGTGCTGTGGAATTGAGGGTCCGTGTGTATTGCGAGGAGACTGGGCTCTCTGGGGAAGCTGCACTGCCATTGCCTCTTAGGGTTCTTTAGCAGCAGGCAGTGTTTTCTTAGGACATAAGACTTCCATAGTTAGAGGGTAGTTTGTGAGCCATAGGTGGGTTCCCCTTGTAGCATGGATGTCAGCTGATGACCAGCATGCCATTTTAGTGGATGGGTGCTGAAAAATGGGGCAGGCTGTTCCGATCCCGTTGGGGGAGTGCGGACATGCAGTGTGTAGGTCTGAGATCTGTTGAGTTTTGCTTCGGAGGAAATTGTGCCATAGAAAGTGTTCAGAACGGCTGCAAACACTGTCGTGGGCAAAGGAGGGCAGGGCTTGTGTGACTTTAATCACCGCTAGAATTTCCTCATTTGCACTGTCATGAGAAATGTTCAGGGTCCTGGTCCCCTGCACCATCTTGCTTAAGGGTTGCAGCCTGTTCCTTTGCTCCTGTGCCATTCATAGGAATTTTCTATAAAAACATAGGAAGTGGTTGTGCTTGTTTCCCTTCCATGGAAAGCTTCACCTGCTGACAGCTGCAAATGCAGCTGCTGTTGAAGACCCACAATGCTTTTTCCCCGATCAGTTAGCAACCCTGGCTCCTGCTGGAAGCTTTTTGCCTTGATGGCATTTCACGGAATCAAAGAATAGTCAAGTTGGGAGGGGCCAAGGAGGCCGTTGGGTACAACCCCCTGCTCAATGCTGGACTCCAAGTTAAAGCATCCCTGACAGATGGCTGTCCAGCTGCATCTTGTAGGAGAGCCCACAACCTTCCTAGGTAATTGGTTTCATTGCTGTGATTTTCAGGAAGTCTTTCCTCATGCAACCTGCCTTCGTGTAACTTGAACCCGTTCTTCTGCATCCTGCATGCTGGGATGATGGAGAGAGGTCTTGCCCCTCCTCTGTGTGACTATCTTCCAAATACCATCTCCCTTCATCTTCTCTTTTCAAGGCTAATCATGCCCAATTCTTTAATAACTCCTCATAGGGCTTTGTTTCCAGACTCTTGGTGATCTTTGTGCCCTTCTCTGAACCTTTCCAATTTGTCTGCATCTCTCTTAAAATGTAATGCTCAAAACTCGTTGCTATACTCAAGATGAGCATAGCAGTGCTGAGTAGAGGGGAATGAGTACTTCATATAATTTGGAGATGGTGCTTCTATTAATGCACCCACATCACATTGTCAGCTCATATTCAGCTTGTGATCTACAACAATTCCAAGATCCTTCTTGCTTGTGGGAGTATTGAGTCAAATACCTCCCATCTTGTAACTATGCATTTGGTTTCTTTTTTCTAAGTGCAGAGTTTGGCCTTTGTCCCTATTAAATTTAATTCTGTTGTTTCCAGCCCACTGCACCAACTTCTCAAGATCACTTTGTACTTTGTTTCTTTCTCCCAGAGTGCTGGCTATCTCACCCGATTTTGTGTCATCTGCAAATTTAATATGCCTTCAGTGCACAGTCTTCATTCTTCTCAGCAGCCTTCCCTAACCTGGGTTAGTCAGCAGCTTCCATTATCTCAAGTCAGCATGGCTATTGGCTGGTTAAGGGTGCTGGGAATTGTTGCTCAAAATAACTGGAGGGCAGCAGGTTGTGTAGGTGGGGACGTATGGATTTTGTTTTGTCTGTATTACATGGATTTTCGGGCACCTTTTGTTCCATCATCTGCTCAACCATGGAACTGGACCCTTCTTAATTTGCAAAACTTGTGCTTGTGTGTACTTGTGTGAATTTGCACTGGCCCAGATTTTCACTTCTGAAAATACAAAGATGTGCCCAAGATGTTTATTGTCACACTTTAGCCTATGGGGGTGATGTGGATTTTCAGTCATTAAAAAAAAGCAATTTTGTAGTTTTCTGTGACTCAACTTGTGCAAAATGCAGAAAGAGAACAAGTAGTCTGAAAGTTTGTGGAGTCTGTGCAAGTTGTAGAAAAAGCAGTCCACTGCAAAATCCATGGGTGGGCTTCACAGAAGTTCTAACTCACTTGAATTCATTGTGGATTCCTCTGGCATACCTGCAGAGAAGGGTGTTGTACAGCACCTAGCACCCTGTTGGTACTCAGTGTTAAGGATGTGAGGGACTGCAAGAATGCAAGCTGTATCATGGAGTTGTGTTTGGCTAGCTAGGAATTCCAAAATTGACGGATCTGTGGTTTTTAGGAGTGTAATCATTCTACGGGGGAAATTAATGAACAGCTGGTTTAATAAGTGCTACAGGGGGCTACCTACGACCACAGAAGTCCAAGATAATTGAGGAGAAAACCTGTACAAACTAAGGCCTGGGTAGGACACAATCTTTCCTTGGGACAATATGATCTGAGATGGGTTGGGTTTTCCCAACTGCAACCCTGTTCTTTTACCACGTCCTTCCACTTATACAGAGTTACTTCCAAACATTAGATGAATCTGTTCACTTGGACCCTTTCACTTGTGGGACTCAAGGGATGGAAGACACCACTGGGAACACTTTTGGGAAGATGATCCACTTGGACAACTCCATTGCTGCGTACAAGAAGAAGACAGCAGAGCATATTTGCCTAAGGACATAAAAAAGGGATTCTGCTGGTGCTTTTGATAAGGCCTATAGGACCCAAATCTGCATAAATTCTCTCCATGCCCATTTATCTCTGTAAATTCAAATTTACAAGCAAATGGTAGGATTTATTCAAATTTCACACAAGGCAAAGGCAGTCAATTAATTTCTCACCCAAAAAATCTGAAATCTAAATAAGGAGGAAGGAGATCCAGTGACTGATACGAGGGAACAGACACAGATGCTAAATGACTATTTTCCCAAAGCAGGATGGGGGAGATCAGCATAGGAGATTGGATGAGGCTGGGGGCTTAGGGGCACAGATTAGAGTCACCCCCTTAGAAGTCGAGGGGCTCCTCAGGACATTGAACATTACAAAGGTGCCAGGCCCTGATGGGTTACACCCGAGAGTACTTAGAGAGTTGGCAGGGGTTCTCTCATGCTCGCTGGCCTCCATTTTTGAGGCCTCATGAAGAACGGGTGAAATTCCAGAGGACTGGAGGGTGGCATCAGTGGTCCCAATATTCAAAAAGGCTGGTAGAAGGGACATGGGGAATTACAGCCTTACGTCCATTGTAGGAAAAACAATGGAAAGGCTCATAATAGAGAGAGATCTAG